TTTCCCTTTAGTTTCTTACCTTGCCTGGTGGCTTCCCTCTGTTGGGCCTCATGGAGTTGTGGCCTTCATTGTTTTTTTCTAGGATATTGTTTAGAATTGTTTGGAGTGCTGGTTTGCTGTTTTTGAAATTTCTCAGGTGTTCTTCATCGTGGAAGTATCTAATTTCCCCATCAATTTTGAAAGATAATTTTGCAGGATACAGCAGTCTAGGTTGGAAGTTATTTTCTTTTATGGCTCGAAATACTTCCCTCCGGGCTCTCCTTGAGTTGATGGTTCGTGTTGAGAAGTCTGCTGTGATTCTGATGGGCTTTCCCTTATAGGTGATTTGTTTCTTTTCTCTAACTGCTTGTAGGATTCTGTTCTTTTGTTGGGTTTCTGGGATCTTGACTATTATATGTCTAGGTGTAGATTTTTTTTGATCATGGCTAGTTGGAGTTCTGTATGACTCACTTCTCTGTATGTTCAATACTCTACCTCTGTCTGGGAAGATTTTACTATTATTTCTGTGAACAGGTTTTTTTATGTCAATTGTACTTTTTCCTGCTTTTCTGTGGACTCCTATCAGTCTTATGGTATTCCTCTTTGCATCGTCTAGCAGCTGCTGGATTGATTTCTCATGGTCCCTTACTATTTTTAAGAAATTTCTGTTTTCATGGTCCTTAACTGCAATCCTGTCTTCTATATCTGATATTCTGTCTTCAGATTCCCTTAATCTGCTATGCATACTTTCAATGGAGTTTTTAATCTCCTGTACATCTGTTTGAATCTGTCTCATGGATTCCATTTCTTTCTTATGTTGGGTGATCATGGTTTTCATTTCTTTCTCATGCTGAGCATTCATGGCTTCCAGCATGTTTCTGAGCTCATTTTTTTTTTAAAATCTGTTTCTGTTCTAGAGCTTCTAATCATGTCTTTCAGTCTGCTCACCATCTCTGTAGTTATCTGGGAGATTATTTCAGCTTTGAATTTTTCTAGAGCTTCATTCATCTGTTTTGTTACTTCCTGTGCTCTCTCAGTTCAGGGTGTTCAGGTGGTTGATTATCAGATTTTTCTACCTCATTTCCCCCAAAATTTATCATTGTTGGGATGGAAGTCTGAGTTTGTGCCTTGCTTAAATGTCTTCTGATTTTTTTTTTGGTACTGTTCTTGATTTAATTCCTGGGTTGATACTTCAAAATTGCTTATTGTAAGTATCTTTGTTGCTTCTAATTAGAACTTTTGTGAAATGATTGCTTCTCAGAGGTGTCTTCCAGATATAGCTGGTCTTTAGGTTTTGAATCTCTAATGACTCTGAGGCTATCTCATTTTCTTTATACCAGGAAGGACCACTGACTAGATCAATAACAACCCCTTAGCCCAAGTGATACAATCAACAACACCATAGCATCAAGTACATCTTAGAAAATGACAATTTGTGGTAGTTATTAATCTATCACCTTTAACTGTGTGAATTAAATCAAAATCGAGGACCAACCCAACATATGTTTATAGTGAACAAACTCTTCAATATAGCAACTTTACCATTTGGGATGGGGAGTTAGAAAGAGTTGGGGAGGGAGGGATAGATAGTAAAAGGATAGGGGAAGGTTAGCAGTGAGGCCAGAGGACAAAAGCAAGACAAGGAAAAAGAGAATAAAAGAAAAATAAAGAAAAAATCCAAATTAGGGCCAGAATCAGAACAAAAAGGGAGATGAAGAACAATGTGGGACAGTAGGAGAGTGAATGTGAGAGAGAGAGAAAGGAAAGAGAAAAGAAAGTAAAAAAAAGAACAGAAAAATAAAAATTTGAAAAGATATGGAAAAAATTAAATATAAGAGGAAAAACTCCAATAATAATAATTTTGGAAATAAAAGATAAAAATGAAAGTGAAGGGCCTCCTTCAGGTTATGTCTCTGCTGTCACAATAGACAACTTGGGTAGCAGTGTGCAGATATATGTCAATGAGTCTCACCAAGCCAGTCATACACCCATGGTATTCAGGCAGATTTCTGGCCACAAGCCCCAAGTTGAGCTCTCTGTCTTGTAGGGTTGAAGTCTGCAAGGTTGTACTGAAGCTTCCAGCTGCCCTTCCCCTGAAGATAGTCCAGGTTTCCATGGGAGGTGATGATCCCTCCAACTTACCCAGTATGGTGGTCTGGCGGTCTGGTGTCCCCTGTGTCTTTGTAGTGTGGAACCAGGTATCAGTACAGCCAAGAGGCCAGAGAAGGGGGAGGGGTGTCCTGCAGGTGCCTGCATGACTAAGTGGATCATGCGTATGGCCAGTGGTGAGGGTTCCTCACCTTCTGACTGGTCCCCACCAGTGTGCTTGGCATGGGCTGGATCTATTTTTTATATTCTGATAACTGTAACTAAGTTTGTGAGTTATATTGATGTTTGCAAAGCACCATTTCATGCTCTGACTGCTATAAATTCCAAGGAATCATATATAACATATAATAAGTAAAAATAGTGCTAGTCTTTGTGTACCAATACTGATCTTCAACAGAAAACTGAAACAGGATTATAAACAAACATTTGAAAATTATTATAAATTAAATTATCTTCCTTATTGC